TGCTGAACTTGGTTCAACAATCCTGCTGTCAGACTTTACATGTTTGTTCAATAAATTCCCTGGTTTGGTCACACACCCCTAAAATTAAATAAAAGCATAAGCAACCCAAATATCTTAAGCAATTTAGTACTTCAGCACACTAGTGAAGAATCACTTCTGATAGATATAGTATCTAAGCAATAAAAGCTGTCACGATATTCTTTCTTCAGCTCAGAAAGGCCCACGTTGCTCAAGAAGCTGTTGCACTTTAAAATTGCCAAGTGAGAAATATATGTTCAAGCATCCACCTTAGAGTCAACCTCTGCTGCTTTAACACAGTTACTTTCTGCAAGAGATACATTTTCCCAGCACACTGTGCAGTTAACTGCACTCCCACCTTTGAGTCGAGGGCTGAGTTCTACCTTTAGTGCATCTGTGCACACGTATAACTTTGGCTTTCAGCTTCTATGTTGCTTCCTGTCATTAAGTTTTATAAGAAAAGGTAATAGCTATTTTAATTTGATATTTACGAAAATAGCAGTTTTGAAGCATACCAGCCCAAAGGTTTCCCTCCCACCAACTATACCAGGTGGGATAACAAAACCTTTTACTTAAACATTTTCTTCTTTTTATGCTCAGATGGTCATGGTTATAGATGTTGCCACCACTATATTACTGTTATCATTTGATAGGGACAAGCCTTTTCTTAAAAGCCTGCAAACAGTATGGTTCACTTCATCACGTGTCATGTGTTCCCCCTGCCCCAGCCCCCTCGAGGAGGGAGGCAACACATTAAAAGTTTCCAGCAATTGAACAAAAAGACAAGTCTGCCTTTTTTCAGATTCACAACCCATCAGTGTCCCCTTTTGGTGGGAAAAAAGGAAAAGTGAACAAGGCAGCACTTACTTAAAAGCCCCAGAAAAAAAATGAGCCAAAACTGCAGCACAGTGTATTGCAGCACTGTCCCTAGTACTGCTCCCTTGCAGCTGGACAGAGATTTCAGAAGCAGGTAAGGGATGTCTTCATATAATCCACAAAAAGATTTGCTCAGTGCTTAATTTTTTTTCCTTTCATTTTGGACATGGCACTAGTGATAAAGCAGTTAGTTCGTGCAGGAACAACATCTAGGGGGACTCCTCTTGGTCAATGATGCCAGTGCCTATGAAGGATAATGTCTTATTGTACAGTGCATCAGATGTTTATTTTTATATATACATAAAATTGTTTTTTTTCTATGTTTACAAATTAAGTTATTTATATATGCTTGTTTTGAAGTGTTTTTATATGCTATCAAAGCTAACTTTTATTTTTATCGGTGTTGAATTAATGTAACTTTTTTTTTAAATACAATCTTAAATTGATACTGAAAAAAACTATTTATATAAATGTTTTCTTTTGCAAATATAACATTTTATGGTACGGCATTGGTTTGTTTGGAAGGAAGAAATTAAAAAAAAAGCTAGCAGATACCTAATTTGTTAATCTAGATTGGGCAAAAAAACCCCAACTTCCTGTAAATTACTGCTGAGCAGTAGGTGATCAAACCAATTGTACTGTACCATCTATTGTTGCATCTCTGCTCTTAATCAAGATTGCTATTTTCATATCCACAATAAATGGTATTTTCTACACAAGAAAAAAAACGCCCCAGGCTCTTGTGCTCCAGCTAAGCTACTTATCCTCTGTGGAACTATGCTTACACAGGGGGAGGTGTTTTTCTATTTAATGTGACTATTTATGCTGAATTAAGAAATAAAGGCATAGTTTGTGATAAAAGCTGTAGGTCTTCTACTTACCCACTGAGGAACACGCATGGAAAATGAATTTCTGGAGCAAGAAGATAGTCACTAGTTTAATTTGGTTTCTGTGACTCAGTGCCTTGTACAAGCAAAGGCACTGCACTTACTTACTTAATATTTAACCTTTTTCCTGTGTTCAGTCACGCAACTGCTTAGTATCTGAATATCCAGAAGGAAGGTAATGCAATTCCGCTCGTCATCTTTTTCTTTTGTGGGCTGTGATTTTTGCAGTAGCAAAGACGGACACGAGGCAGGCCACACACTCTGACCTAGCCTGCTGTGAACGCTCTTTTCCCTGCAGCTTTCAAAAGCCTCTTCCTTTATCGCCTCCCCCCACTACTAGAGGCAACACGAAGAGAACAGGTATGATGTTTAAAGCTCTGACACAGAGAGAAGTCTATCAGCCTAGTAGGACACCAGAGAGTCATGGATCCGTATAAGAATTGTCTCATTACTGAGTAGATAGAAAATAGTGCCATACAATTGTTTCTAAGGTTTAGCTGAAGTCAGGTGTTTGGCTTTGCACAGCAATCAAGGATGACTATCATGAGATGCCCAGGACCTAGAATAACTGCATAAAAACACGAGAAGATGGAAAACGGGTTTCTTACCTGCTGGTTCCCATTGAAGAACTGACTTCTGCCCAGTCTGGCACAATTATGCTGTCCCTCTCTGGAAGTAGTAAACTGTTTCTGGGGTTTGGCCACCTTTTAAATAAGAGTTTCCAAGCACTGTATTGGAGAAGGATAATATAGGTATGTTGAGTTCATAAAAAAAACAGCTGTGGCCATGATAGCTAGGTAAACAGTTTTAGAATACCTGAATAAAATCAGTTCCAGAGAAGAAAGCACCTTTTACCATTATGGATCCCAGCTTCTCCTTCCTTTCCTTCCTCCACTTACAAAACAAAATAATGTTTATTTCATTATGAGCAAAAAAATAAATAAAAAAAGAAGCAGGCAGAGCAGGAGAGAGTACTATACTTTTTCTAACCCATGCTTTGTGACAAAGCACCTCTCTGCTCTTTGCACCATTACAAAAGTGTTACACATCAACAGCTTGGACACAAAACAGGACATTTAATCATGTTTATTATGACAAACAAAACTTCAAGTGAGACCTGCAGCAAAATATCACATAATAGCCTCAAGGAGCAGGTATGGAATGATCAGGACTTACTTACTATTTCAGTTTATGTTACCATGTCCTTGCTGCATATGCAGCATGGCTACTTTTAGGTAACCTCTACTTTATTCACACCAGAACACCCCTAAAATAAGGCATGGAGATGGCACATCTTTCAATACAGTGCTTAGTAACCAAATCATTAAAAAAAAAAATTAGAGTTCAAAACATAGCCATGTTCCTCTATGGTCTGGCACGCGCGCTCTCTGTGCACCATCTAGATTTTACAGAAGTCAGAGTTCTACCTAATTAGACCTAGGGTCTTTGTTTTGTTTGTTGTTAAAAAGAAAAGAAAAGAAAAAAGGCCACTGACCAATACATTACCTTTTCTTGCCTCATACAAGAAAGAGGTAATTTAATTTGCAAGATTAAAAAGCCCTAGGTTCACCTTGTCCAGACATTCCTTTTGCATAATATAATATTTGCTTTCTGAAAAGCCTGCACTAATAGGACACGCCTAGGCAAAAGGAAAATAAATCCTTATTGCTACAGGAAAGAACAGGCAACATCTAATGATCAACTAATATTTTGCTAGCCACCAGCAACCCCCA